AGGGACCCTCCCTCCGGAGCAGGAAGCAACCGGGCGGGCGGATGCGCTGATGCTGCCGGTGTCAGTGCTGATTCAGCACCGCAGCGGTAAAGCATGGCAAGGGGGTACCAACGCCGGCGGTAGTGCCGGGCTGCTCCGGGCTGGGCTGGCAGGAAGGGAACAGGTTTGCCTCCCTGTGTGCGCGAGAATAGAGTAACAAAATATAAACAAGAAAATCACATTTCCTCCCGTTCTGAAAGTGGTCTTATGTGCCCCCGTTATTGGTGGCGTTCAACTCTCTCCTTTCCCTTAGCCCACTGGCATCTGGGAGAAATGATGAGCTCCTTTCATGTTTTAATGATCAAAATACCTTTTCAGGCACAGGACACAGGAGGAAAAGGCAGGACCAGCTTGCTGGCTAGTGCTGGGTGTTGCCCTTACACCTGCAGCCAAACTACTGCAAGGCGCAGGAACGCGCAGCCAGGAGGGTGCAGAGCTACCGGGGCCAATCCTCGTTCAGAAGTGTGCCCTGAGCACGGCGTGAGAGCGCAGGGAGAGGGTCTAACGATGGACTATCAACACAGACTCCTGTCTTACCACCCACCCGGCCAGCTGATGCCCGGAATAAAAATCACTCTGGTTCTTTGGTGTTGCGGCTGGAGGAAGCTGCCGGCACCCTTTGGCAGAGGAGCGATTTCAGAGGGATCGAGCCACACTAGATTTGGCGGCCATGTAGCGTGGTCTGGGGAGGGGCTGGTGGCACCCGGGCCAGGGGTGCAAGTGGGAGGCTGAAGGGGATGGGGATCCCCTGATCCCACAGCAAGCAGGATACGGTGCCCAGCAGCTTGGCGCTCGCCTCCTCCGCATCCTGCCGACCGCCAGCGCGAGCTGCCGCATGGGACCGGCCCCGGAGTGCCAGCATGGGCTCTGCTGCCCAAGGTCCTCTGTGGGCACGCAGCTCCCACACGCCACGGCCACCCCAACGCTCACCTGAGCAGTGCTTCTGCAGGCGGAGGATCTCCAGATGCAGGTCATGGAGCAGCTCCATCTGCTCCTTCTTCAGGAAAGCGATGTGCCGCTGCACGCTCTGGATCTGGTGCTCCAGGGACACGGTCTCCATCGCAACCAAGTTCACAGTCCAGGCCTGCAGGGAGCAGAGACGGCTTGCGATCAGACATGCAGCAGCACAGCAGCCCGGTGCACACAGTGCCTGCAGCCCTTGCGAGGGGCAGAGCCCATCGGCTGCGGGGTGGGTGACCGCTCTCCCCTACCCTCCCACAGGGACGTGGCTGTGGGTGAAGCAGCTCTGCTCAGAAGATCCCTGGGGAATGCTCCCCAAGCCATCCCACCGCCCCAGCGCTGCTCAGGCTGGCTCCCGTCCCGCTGTTCTGGGGCTGGCAGGCTCAGAGACTGCACCAGCAGAAAACGCTGCCGCATGGACCCTGGCACCCAAGTGGCTCGTTTCTATTTCGAATGTGGCCCTAGGAAATGCGTTATCGCCAGGCAGGATCACATCTGGGACAGGATTGCTCCCCGCAGTCCCCAGGTGGGACTTGCACCAGAGACGAGTTTGGCTCTCGTTTGACAAGCCACATATTACGCAGCAGTAACTGCAGCGAGAAATCTAACACATGAAAAATACAATATGCTCCATCTAACCCGATCAGTGTTACGCGGCGAAGAGAGTCATGTTGTCTTCCAGAAGAAGAAACGTCTTCCCCGGTAATTCGCCTGGCAGACAAGAGCTGCTGTCAGTCCTGCGCCGGACGGCTCAGCCCGCGGTGGGGGTCCAGCACCACGTGTTAACGGCTTCGGCAAAGCAGCGGCGCGAGCTGCCTACCTGTGCCGCTGCACCGGGGAGATAAAAATAAACCCCCAAAAGAACCCTTAATCCGGGGAAATACCATTTTGTACAAATGTGAATCCGTCCTTACGCCCCGTGCCCAGCTCGGGAGGAGGGGCAGCCGCAGCAAACCCAGGTGGCAGCGGGGAGGACGTTTTGCCAGCAAGCCCGAGGGACGGCGTGCACCACCCCGGCCCCGGGAAGCCGCTTCCATTCCCTCCTTCATCCACCTCTGACTTCAGTTTTCTTTCTATAGAAACTTCAGAACTAAGGGAGTGCTTTGGCTCATGTTTACGGCACACCCAGCTCCGTAATGTAGTGCATTTTAAGATAATTCCCGCAACCTAAATCAAATCAAACTGCATTTAAGCTCGATTCCACAGTAAGTGATCTTGGCAGTGCCCCGAGTTCAGAGCTTTGTTCTTGCCAAGGCCTCTCCAGATTGGTGAAATCCCTACCGTCAGGTCTCCCATTGCATGACGGGGCGGGGGTGCAGTGATGCTCCAACACTAACGTGTTCGGGGTGTTCCCTGCCGTGCCCCGCTGCTGCAGCATCGCCCCACGGCCCCAGCCCACCCTCACCGGCCACGGCTCCTGTCACCTGCGCCACCCGTCCCCTCTGCCACCTGGCGGG